AGGCCTGTGGTGATTACGGACCTGTGTATCCCCATCCTTGGAGCGGGATGTGCTGGGGGGCCACAGGGAACCCTGGGGGGGACATGGCAGCGCCCCCCAGCCTCACTGTACGTGCACGCACGCACGTGTGCGTAGGAGCCTGTCAAGTGCACTTCTGCTCATCCAGCCTGGGGTAGGCCCTAGGGTCTGTGTTTCCCGCAGCCTCTCAGGGCTGCCCTGAGAGCAACCGTGTGAGGCGCTGACTGGGGATGACCAGTGCGACCTCAGGCTGGGTGGGCAGGGGTGGAAGCTGTGAGGTCACCCGAAGCTCCGGGTGCTGGATTGGCTGGAGGTGGGGCTGATGGGACTGCTGATGGAGGGGTGTGATCTGGGGGCAAGGGAGCTTCCCAGATTTTACTCTGAGTAACTACAAGGATGGAGTTGCTGTTGGAGGGAAACAGCATGCATTCCATCTTGGACCTGCTGGGGCAGTGTCACCTGGATGGTCAGCACACAGGTCTGGCGTTTGAGGAAGGTTCCAGAAGTCCAGGTGCAGGTGCCAGTTAGAGGGTCATTTACGGTACCGAGGGGAGAGCTGGTGGGGTGGGGGTGCTTGGAGGTGGTTGTGAGCCTGAGACGTGGTCACACAGCCCCGGCGGGGTGTTCGATGGCTGGTAGGTCAGGGATTTCACGTAAAGCAGAAGGAGCAGTGGGCAGGGTTGGGGGGGTGGTCAGACTCGTCTTTGTGTTTAAGGTGGGAGAGACTGGTGGGCTCACTTGCTTCTGGGTGTCGTTTGGTGGAGGAGAATCAGGTGGCACGGGAGAGACGGGACCACTCTTGGGGTGGACGTGGGGCCAGTGGAGAGTCTGTGCAGGGTCCGTCCAGATGCTCTTCTTGGGGAGGGGGTGCTTAAGGGTCAAGGAGGGGTGTGCGGTAGCCATGGAGGGCAAGGGCTCCCCCTTGGTTGGTGGTCACGATCCCCAGTGAGACCTCAGCAAGATGTGTGTGTTCAGGAAGGTTGGCTGGTGGGCTTGGGGATTGTGAGGCTGGTGGGTGGCAGGGCTGGGAGGCTGAGGGGAGTGCGGGCTGTCACGCTGCGGACAATAACAAGGCTTCTTGTGTTTTGATACAGGTGGCTATTATCATGGAAAACTAATTTTTCCCAGAGAATTTCCTTTTAAACCTCCTAGTATTTATATGATAACTCCCAATGGAAGATTTAAGTGCAACACGCGGTAAGGTCTTCCTGCGGTGCTCCTGAAGCGGACTGGGGTCGTGACGAGCGTGCACCACTTTGACTGGGTCCCTTTCTTTCAGGCTGTGTCTTTCCATCACGGATTTCCACCCGGACACGTGGAACCCAGCCTGGTCTGTCTCCACTATCCTGACGGGGCTCCTTAGCTTCATGGTGGAGAAGGGCCCCACCCTGGGCAGTATAGAGACGTCGGACTTCATGGTGAGGGTGGAAGCCAGGCTCGTGGAGGGGGGGCCTGGGCACCCCTGCAGAGACCTCCGCTCCGGGGCCCTTTTCCTCCTCAGCTGTCACGCCCAGTCAGGACGGCTGCTCCTTGGTGCCTGGTTTTGTTTTTTTTTTCTTTTGTTTTATGTGGGAACCAAGCCTAACGTGGTGGTACAGGAAGATAAGCAGCCTGTGAACCTGCAGGTTGGTTTGCTGTGCGGAGCAGGCTCATGGAGCGCCTCCCAGGGCAGGGCTACAGCAGCCCTCATAGTGAAGCGCTCTGTCTCAGAATGTGGCAGACTTGAAATTCGCCTTCAGGCTGATACTTCCCTTTTCTTTCTTCCTAGAAAAGACAACTGGCTGCACAAAGTTTAGTGTTTAATTTAAAAGACAAAGTCTTTTGTGAATTATTTCCTGAAGTTGTGGAGGTAAGAAGGTGAAAGTTGGCAGTTTGGCTTTCCCCATGCCAGGAACACTTCAGTTCAGTTCTTTCCAAAGAGAACGTGTGCTCCCATGTGTCCCTGCGCTGCGGACCTAGAGCACGGGGGCGGGGTGCACGCGGGCAGCCGCAGCAGACCTGCCCCCTCCTCAAGGCCCCCTCCTCAAGGCACCTGGCTTAGATGGTGGGTCCAAGGTGGGGAGAGGTCGGGGGTCGGGGGCTGGGCCTGCGGAGGCTCTGGGTGAGCCGGGAGTGGTGGGAAGGGTCCTGGTGTGCGGGCCAGAATGCCCACTGGGAACGTGGCTGAGCCGCACAAGGTCGGGGCTGTGGTGTTTCAGCACCGCTGCGCCTGGCTCGGTCCAGGGTCGAGAGACGCAGGCTCGGTGGTTTGACAGGTCACTTGGCTCTGCATCTGTAAACAGGACGAGCTGCTGCTGCCGACTTGGCAGGGTCTTTGTGGTTGACTCGAGACCCTTCCTGGTCCTGAAGGAACCAGTTTGTCTAGACCAACCCTTGTTTCTTGCTGTTTTTCTCTTAGGAAATTAAGCAAAAACAGAAAGCACAAGACGAGCTCAGTAGCAGACCCCAGGCTCTCCCCTTACCGGACGTGGTTCCTGACGGGGAGACGCACCACGGCCAGAACGGGCTTCCGCTCCTCAACGGGCACGTGCCGGGAGCCGGGCCGCACCTCGCAGGCCTCCAGCAGGCCAACCGGCACCACGGACTCCTGGGTGGTGCCCTGGCGAACTTGTTTGTTATAGTTGGATTTGCGGCCTTTGCCTACACGGTCAAATACGTGCTGAGAAGCATAGCGCAGGAGTGAGCCCCGCCGCGACCCGCAGAGGTGGTCGGAAACGAGGGACGCTGGGCCGAGCTCGACGCGGGCCGGCTGGACGTGCTGCCGGACACGGGCCCAACCCTTCTGACTCCTGGGGTTAGCTTTTTTAAAACCTTTAAAAGGAAAACAGAAACCAGAGTGTGTGGTTTGGATTTGGAGGAGACATGGGGTTCCCAGCCCCTGTTCTCGTCCTGGGGTCTGTCAGGGGCTGTGGGGCTCTGTGTCCATGAGGAGGCTGCACGCTTTGGTTTTATAGCTTATTTCCTGTATTATCTTTTGAACCTGTTTTAGTAACCTGTTTTTCATTTTATTAGATTTGGTCACTTAAAAATATAAAACTCCATGCCTATCCAACACTGCGTGCATTCTTGGTCTTGGGGACCCTGACTTAGCAGGCAGAGGCTGGCGTCTCGAGGGGCATGGCGGGGGCGCCCGGGGCCAGCTGGCCAGGGACAGCACGGCAGGTCGGGGACCTGGGCTTTGGTCTCGGCATTTAAAACACGTTTGTGTTCACTTAGAACAAAGCAGGTTCTAATGCGCGTGTGCTTCGCTTTGCTGAAGCTGACAATCTGCTTACTTTCAGTGACCACAAGCTGTCGTCTTAACGCATCGGGCTGAGCTGCCTGGCCCTCTTGGTCATGCTGCCGGCTTCCCCTCACCCCGCAGCCTCCTCCAGGCTCCTGCGTGCTGCAGGGGGTCTTTCGGTTCCTGCGCTGGTGGAGGGTGGAGACCCCCAGCAGCCCCATGGGGCCCCACCCTCCAGGCAGGCTCTGTACACTTGGGGCTTCCCTTACACTTGGTCCAGATCTTTGGTTTGCCCTAAAGATAGGCTCGCACATTCCTTTTCACAGCTGATCCATGTCAGGTTCCTTGAAGACGACGTGGGGGACTGGGCGTCAGAGGGAGAAGCTACTGGGAAGGATGCGGCTGGGTTCAGGGCAGAGCCGGCGGGCTTCGTCTCAGATTTGGGACCTGTGATTCCCTGGATTGCCGATGTCTTCCTGGTCCACGTCTCTGCTTAATGAGTTCACCTGCACGGTGTTTGGAAGGTGCTGTGTCTGGGAGCCACCGGATGAGATGCTGTGACCTCGCTCTGGAGGCTGGCAGGAAACAGCAGTGTAGCTGGGCGACTGTGCATTCTTGACATTCTGTATTTTTGGATCAATTTATTTAAAATTGCTCTTTGATTTACCACTTGTGTGTATTCAGCCTGCTTTTGTGAAAAGTTTTTCATTATATCTTTGTTCCTAAATTTTGTGCTCTTGGAGTCTTGAAACGTGACTGCCTCTCGGCCCCGCACTGGGGTAGCCTGTGGGCGGGCGCTGGCTTGGCCTGTGGGCGCCTCAGGCACTGTGTCTGCCACTGCACTGGCGTCCTGTGACCAACAGTGGACCCTGGTGGCGGTGCTGCACTGCTGGGCCCAGATCCCCACGTGTGTGGCTCTGCCAGGCTGTGCTGGACGCTGGACCTCCCCTCTGTCCGCTGCCGGCTTGTCCAGACACTCCCATGTTTCCTGAGGCTCTTCCTTGGGAGTCAGAATGTTTAGCAAATAGAGTTAACTTGATAAACGTTGTTTTTCTTCTATGTGTGAAATCTCAACTTTTAAAAACCCTTGGTCAGCCATGGGAGCAGATCCGAGCTGTACAGAGCCTTCCCCTGGCGCCCATGGCAGCTTGCTGTCTGACGTGACCCGAAATAAAAGATCTTGTCCCGTTGGGCCTGTGTCTCTCCCCTAGAAGTCCCCTATGCCTGGGTTTGAGGGTTCGTCCGCTCCTGGGTGCAGGGAGTGAGTGGGGGCTGGGCTGGGGGCTACAATGTCCCTTCCTCCTCGGGGAGTCAGGGTATCAGGATCTTGGGTTCCGGGCCGGGTGGGTGAGGAGGACCCGCAGCTGTCCTGAGCCTTTCCTCCGTGGGGCAGTTGGTGGCTGTGGCCGGAAGGTGTGGACGACTTTAGAGGCTCTCTTTGGTTGTTACCTGGGTGGTCCAGCACCCGCTGGGGTGGTGCCGGGTCCCGGAGGACCAACCCCTGCTGTTGGTCTCCTAGGAGGAGGCTAGCACAGCTGCAGTGTCCACAGGCTGCCTGTCACGGCTGCGAATTGCCAGCGGCACACTCAGGCCACCAGGATGCAGGTCACGTCGAGGGTTCCAGCCCGGTGGGGCACAGAGGGGTCTTCCGCAACGTGACCTGAAGGCACAGACTTGCCTGCCAGACACTTGCAGGAGCTGAGACTTTAAGAATGAGCTCAGGATTCCCTGGGACTGGCCACTGTTGTAGAGGTGGCCGCCTCTACCTGAGCCAGGAGGGAGGATACGTGTTCTTGGGGGGACGGCACTCATATGGTCCCCACCTGGCTCATCTCTGGGGCGGCCCAGCCCTTAGCTGCCAACCGTGGGCGTGGCTTGTGGCTGGGGTCTCCTGACCCGTGGGTCTTGGTGGGGTGCATCCCCATCCTGAAGGGGCAGGGTAGGGGGTCTGGGGAGGCACAGCCCCTCCCCTTGGGCAGTGGAAGTGGGAGGCGGGTGGTCAGCGGGGGTTCCGCCCCCATCCACGCCCCTGGGCTGGCCTGGGAGCCCCAAGAGGCTGAGGATCATCCCACGTGAGCCTTCCCTGTTGGAGCCCGCCAGCTCTGGGGAGGAGGGGAGGATTTATTTGGCGGCCGCAAGGGCGGCAAGGGCACTGCTCGCGAGGAGAGAGAGTGGAGATCGGCAGAGCCTGCAGGGACGGGACAGGACGGGAGTGCGTCCTACGGCCTTGTGAGGCAGCCCCCACTCGTCCTGTGCAGACATGCACCCGTGGCGGCCAGGTGTCCCCCGGGGCTGCGCCCCTATGCTGGGGCTCTGAGTGCGTCCTGGCGCCTGGGCTCACAGCACTGCACTGCCGCCAGGGTCCAAAGCCGCCAGTCAACATGCGCTGGGCTTGGGCCACCGCCATGGCCCTCCTCTGGCCGCAGCTCGAGCTCCTCAGGGTCGTCGGGGCACGGCGGGAGCCCAAGAGGCTGCGGCAGCCTGGCCAGCGCCTGGTGTCCCCCAACGCCACCACGTCCAGCAGCGAGGGGCTACCAGGCTTCCCCAAGGTATGCGTGATCCAGGCGCACGTGGGCATCATCCTCCCCCAGCAGGCTGTGCCCGCGGGGCTCTCCTCTCTGGGCCTTCCTCCCTGTCTGTGTGGGGTGGGGCTTTGGGCAGGAACCACAGCAGCAGAGCCTAGGGAGGGGCTGAGGGAGCAGAGGGGCTTCTCAGCTGGGCTACCCTGAACCCTTTGAAGCCCCGAGCAACCTGCTGCCATTAGGTGTAACGGCACTCGGGGAGGAGCCCCAGGCAGCTGGCTCAGACCCCCGCTGGAGCCTGGGTGCCCCACCACTCCCGCTGCAGCTGCTGCCGCCAGGGGAGGCCCAGGCTCCTGGGACCCTGTGCTTCCTGGAGGTCCCTGCCCTGACCCCCTGCTGGGTAGCCAGCACCCACTATGGCCTCTGGCAGGGGATGTGCTCCAGGCCTGAGAGTCCTCCAGTTTCAGCCTGCCCCTGGGGTCCCCTCTGAGAGGAAACTGAGCCCTAGGTCCCCACACTCTTGGGCTGGGGATCGCCTGAGGGGTCCTGGAGCTGACTGCAGCAGCACAGGCCTGCCGGTTGCTGGACTGGGAGAGGAACCAGGCCCCCTGCCAGCCCCCAAGCCTTTGATCCTGGGCTGCTGCCTCCCAAGGGCGTCTCCGTGGCGGCCAGCCCGGCTGCTCTCAGCCCACGCGGCCCGCTGGAGCCCGAGGCCCTGTTTTCCAGATGGGCAGGCTGAGGAGAGTGAGTCCTCGGGCCCTGCAGGCAGGGAAGGGTGGGTGGCCAGCTGGTTTGGGGCAGGCATGGAAGGTCTTGGGCAATCCCTGCCAGTCTCCCAGGGGAGGGGTCCTTGGTGGCAGTTTCCACCCTGCCGGCACCCCGTGCCCCTGCCCTGTGGCAAACAGGTGGACTTCTGTCCAGGAGGGGCCTCCGTGGGGGCTGTCCCAGGCCATGCGGCACTCGCCCAGGATGGCCTGCCCCAGACTTCTGGACGCCTGCCCTTCCTGTTGTGGGTGGCTCCTCCTCCACCTGCCCCCTGGGCCCTCAGACGTGGCTAGGGTCGGTGGCGGCCAGAGGAACAGGCAGACAGCAGCGGTGCGAGGACCGGAACATTCGAAAGCTCTTGGCTCCTCTCCCTTCCCCGTTGGGGCCTAGGTCAGGGTGGGAGGTGCTCCCACCCCCTCCCCCCCGAGCCCTCCAGGGTAAAGGCCTGTCTGGTTTGCTGGGAAGGAACCTTAGCCTGCCCAGGAGCCAGCCCTTTGTTGTGTTTGGGGCTGAGGACTGGCCACTGGACTGGACCTGGGCCAGGACCCCTTGGCTTGCCCTGCCTGGATGGCACTCCAGAGTGGCCTTGTGGCAGTGGCTGTCTCCTGCCAGGCCAGTGTCTACTATGCTCCTGGCCATTTTGTGGACTTCCTGTTTGAGCTTGGCATGCGGACCGGGCTCATGCCCCCTTACTTAGCATGCTGTCTCCTCCTCTGACTTTGGGTCTGGGGTGCTCCTGCCTCTCCCGTGGTCCTGGTGCAGAAACAGGGCTTAGAAGGCATGACTGGAGGGCTGGGCCACGTCTCAGGTCAGCTTGGCCATGCCCTTCTCGGCCCCTGCTCCAACAGCAAGGTGGCCAGGGTCCGAGGCTGAGGAGCAGGGCCAGCTGGCGTGCCAAGGCTGCCAGCTTGCACACTCAGTGCTCAGTACAGAGTAGGGCCTGTGACCATTCCTCCCTGGACCAGTGTGGCTCTGGAGCTCCAGGGAAGGCCCCTAGAAAACTTGCCCCTGCCCACCACTGCCTGCCTCTGCCCCATGTGTCCATGTGTGTGCCCATCTGCTCGGAAACAGGGTGCAGCAGGAGAGGCTGAGGTTGCTCCAGCACAGAACCAGACCCGAGGTCCTCAACATCAGGATCTGGCCTGTGTCCCCGGCATGGCCAGCAGTGCCCTGTAGCCATATTCCTTGTGGGTGCCGAGTCCTGCCTGGGGCTCCTGGGCCCTGAGATTCCCCAATCTCTGCAGGGGGTAGTGGGGCAGGACCCAGCGGGGCCTGGCGGTCAACACACTAGCCCTGTCCCCCTCTTCAGTTGCCTGAGGCCTCAGGGCCTCAGTTCACAGATGCCCACATGACATGGCTAAACTTTGTCCGGCGCCCAGATGACGGGGCTGCAAAGAGACGGTGCCGAGGCCGGGACAAGATGTCGGTGAGCCCTGGGGTCTGAGCCTGGGACAGGTGGCTCTGGGTCCCATCAGGATCCTCATTTTCTCCTGCCTCCTCCCAGCGAGGCCTCTCTGGCCCCCCAGGGCCTCCTGGGCCCCCGGGACCCCCTGGACCCCCCGGCGCAGAAGTCACCCAGGAGGCTGTGCTGCGGGAGTTCCGGGAGATGCTGAAAGGTGGGCCACCCCCACACCCTCTCCTCCCAGAGGTCAGGAGGTCACTCTGGAGGTGATCCCACGCTGACCCCGAGCTGTCCCCACAGAGGCAACTGAGCGTCGGTTCTTGGGGCTGCTGGACCCCTTGCTGCCCGAGGGGATGGGCAGATGGCTGGTGGCCGAGGCCTTCCACTGTCGGTTGAAGGGCCCGGTGCTGGTGGATGCGAAGACTCTGGTAGAGCTGCAGGGCTTCCAAGCCGTGAGTGGGTATTGGGGGTGGGCCTGGGTGGGGGCCGAGGGGCCAAGCAAGCCCTGGTTGCCTCCAGGGGCATCCCCTGCGCACACTCATGACCAACAGCGGTCAGCTTGGGGACAGCATCCTGGCTGGGCCCCCACAGGTCAGCAGGGCCCACAGCTACCACGAGGCGGCCCCCAGGCATACACATGCAGTGCCAAGACTTGGAGTGGGGTCTGAGGTGGCCTGGAGGCAGGGATACCCTCCCTGGGTGGGGGTGGGAGGGCTCTTGGGGCCTACGTCCCATGCACAGGTCACTCCTCCATCCTGCCCAGGTGGGGCCTGCTGGGTTGGGGCTGTTGGCCACAAGCCCTCCCCCGGGCTGGGTGTGCAAGTTGTCTCCGCAGCCTGCTCTTCCCTGCTTCCTCCAGCCCGCTGCCCAGGGCGCCTTCCTGCGGGGGTCAGGCCTGAGCCTGGCCTCTGGTCGGTTCACAGCCCCAGTGACTGCCATCTTCCAGTTCTCTGCCAGCCTGCACGTGGGTGAGCGGGGCCGGGCCAGGGTGCGCCCATGTGGCGGGTGGGTGGGGACTGGCTCTCGGGGGCCCCAGGCCGGGTCCCATTGTAGAGATGC